GTTAGGGATACCAAATAGAACATGTCCCAGGATAAATCCCAGCAGTACTCCATTTGTTACTGGCCTTCAGGTGGAGTACAAGCCATTATCTCTGCCCTCCAAGCCCTATTATCTGAACAGCGGTTATCCATCTTGTTGGCCACTCAGCACACCAGCATGTTTATGAAGAATTGAGCATGTTCTTCAGATTTCTTCTATCCCTGTATTTCTGTCCTTTTGCTCTGGAGTGCTGTCAAAAGTTCCCTGTTTAGCCAGGCCAGTCTCCTGATATACCTACTTGTTTAGCTGAGTATCAGGAGGAACTGTTTGTATGATTGCAGGTGGTTGTCCTTAAAGACCTGCTGCCAGATTTCCTGAGCTCCTCTGCTCTTCAGAGCTGCCTCCCATGGGATCCTGCCCACTGGTTCTCTGAATAAACCAGAGTCTGTCTCAGGAGTCCAGGGACTCTATTCTGCTGCTCATTTTTCTCATATGCTCTGTCTTGAACATGGCTGTTTCCAGGTCACTACCATTGGGGCAAGCACTGATTATCACATGTCAAACCATTTTTTCCCGTGTGACTAATAAAGGCAGAACTGCTGCATCTCCTGTTCAGTTTAGAAATGCATTGACTGACTACATGGAAATAGCTTAATTGCAGAATGCTTATTCCATTGAGTTCCATGCTGGATAAAGACATTGTTCTGAGATAAAATCTAGCCTGGAATTAATTTAGTCTCATTCTCACAGTGCTATGTGTGCCTGGCAGATTTGGGTTGTCTGTATTCATCACACACGTAAGCTGCTCTCTGGATAACACAGCTATGCATAACTAGGGATAAAATATGTATGAAATTAAGAGTCTTAGTCATTCATTCTTCTCTAGATTTTTTTCCTGCTCTTTGCCTTTCTATGTATGGTTTTATTCCTTCTCATCAGATGTCTTCCAGCAAAATTTGTTACTCCATCAGTGTGGCCAGTGCAAAGAGAAACTAAAATACCCTAGTTTCTTGGCAAGCTGCTTTATGTAGTGGTTTATATTTTCTTTTTGCTGTTAGTGTTCTTGAAGCAATAATAGAATAGCTGACTTTTCCAGACGTAGGAAAGAACTATACAGACATACATGGATTTGAAAGAGTGAAAAAAAATCCTGGAAAATGGAAGTTTTCCTTTCCTATTGTGTTATTTGAACAAAACCAAATCAAAACAAAAAAGAAACTGGCTAAGAAAAAGAGAAGTTGTCCTTTATTGCCATGTTGTATGAAGTAGTGATTAGAGAAATTACTGAAGGTGAGGAACATGCAGGGTAGCCAAGGGGGGCAGACTCATTAAAACCTTTTCAGTACTGCTGAATTTCTGCACGTGGTACTGGCTGTGGTGCTGTATATTCTGATAATTGTATTAGCCTTGCTTCTATCTTTGCACATTTTAGGGCAGCCATACTTTAGTAAAACATCAACATATTAATGTGACATGTTAAAACAAAATAGGAAAAGTCAGGTGACTGGAACATCTCTCTGAAAATGAGCCAGGCTTGTCTTGTAAGGTATGATTGCACAGGCTGAATTTACTGGGTCAGTAAAGCATTAATAGGATAAAACTGAAGGGACTACTGTTAGTGATTCAAATTTGAATTTTTCACATATCAGTCTCATCCAAATACACTTTTCCAAAAAACTTTTTGTCTGACATGACTAAATTTTACCAGATGTGGTTTAACTGACTTAGTCTAATAATTTTCTCTTGAAAGCTACTTGGCATAGCTGACAGAGCTGTTTTGAAAAAATTAGGATCATTTGTGAATAAGAAATATTTCAGCTTAATACAGCATGCAATGAATATAAACTATAAAAGAGTGCATTTTTAATTTAGCAAAGTCATAAACTTACAGTTACTCTTACAAGAAAATCAGGTTTGTTACTTTTATTGGTGTTATTGCTGTACACTGTCCTGCTGTAGCTCTTAATTTAATTTTTGGAGCATGAAAATATGTAATTTTCTTTAAGTCATTTGTATTGCTTATTTAAATGCTAAGATCGAAAATAATTGCAGGACGTTCTACCTTGTTACTTATTTAAGAAGTTTCTTTACATGCCTAATTTTATACTTTCACACAGCAAAACGATTGTACAAGATGCAATTGTTTCTGCTGTAAAGAGATCTTTGAGGTTTAAGGTTATTCAAGCTTCAGTTCCTGGCTTATGTTCCTCCAGACTATTTGATGGCAATGCCAAAATCCCAGATTTCTGCAAGTGTAGCTCTTACGACAAAACAAAGAATATGCAGAGATTAAAACAGGGCTAAGAGGAGCATTACAGGAGAGCTCAGAAGAAAATCTCCCCCCTAGACCAGAGTTCAAGCACTATTTTCTTTCCACTGTGCTCCTTAGCAGTGCTGGAGTGAGGCTCCAGCTGTAACGTGGCTCAGCCCCCAGGTTTGGTGCGAGTCATTCACAGACACCAGGAGGGCTGTTCCAAAGGACAGAGCCCCTGGCGCTGCCCAGAGCTGCAAAGCTTTCCTGTTAGAATGCTCTGCCTCATCCCTTCTAGGGGCTTAACAGGTGACAGGAACACTGCCTCAACTACCTTCTTGTCACCCAACAGTTCATCTCTCATGTCTCTTATTACTCTGAGAACTAGGTGGACTTTTTTGGGTGTATGGAACTGACAGGAAATGTAGAAAAATTTACATTGGAAGGAAAGCCAGTGAAAGGACATGGATTATCAAAAGTTATATATACACAGACAACAGATTTTGGGTTTGTTAGCATAAATTTCTATTTTATGTTAAGACTAGAATCCTTTCTGGTATTTCTTCAGAGGAAAAGTAGTATTTTGTCAGGTTTATAGTGCGATAAAATAAACACAAGGAAAGAAACAGGTTCACAATGTAAAATCTTCAGTAGTAACTCCAGTTTTGTTGGTATATTTTTCTGTACCAAATCCTCTATAGGGTATACAAAAACAGCAAAATAAGTAAGAGCCTTTAAGTACCAGTTCAGGAAGAAAACAGTCTTGTCTGGAGTACACATCATCTGCTTTAACAGCATCATTTCAACAGTCTGTGGCATGAACAGAAAAGCCAGAGTAATACAGATCAAATACCTGGGACATTGAAACAATCTTTTCTTCTTAGGTAATATTCAGTAATAAACACTTATAAAAACACATTTCTCATCGTTAACATAATTTTTAATATATAGACTGGTGCCATAAGTAGTCTAAAATAGAGGTTCTTCATTGAGCAATTTTCACTGGGCTTTTTATCCCACTGAAAAAAAACTGTAGAGGGGCATCAAAATTGTGACCAGCAAATATCCCCGTGGATAAACCTCCTTAAAACAGCTCTTTTTCTTACAACACTATTACACCTTCATCAAAAGTTTGCTGTTCAGGAATAAAATTTACTACCAGAGTAAGTGTTTCAGGAACTGGTGTCATCATGTTTGTGCACCAGTTGCTGATTATCTGCTAAGATGACCAAGGTAGCTGGAATGGTTTCATGTAGACAGTTGATGGCAATGTTACTCAACTGATCACTGCACCCATTCCTCCAATTACTGTGCTTTACTTCTTGTAGAAACAAGAAATTATTTTCCTGATGCCAAATAATTAGTACTGCTGCACATTCAGATTTTTTTTGCATTTAATATTTGGTACATATACCAAGGTTTTCAGTTCAAGGACATACAAAGTCTTAATTTATAGAATAATAACTTATGTTTTTGTAAGTTACATCATGGCTAAGCACTCAAGCCATATCTACACTATAAACTTTGGCCAACAATCAGAAAGGTGTGATCCTCATCAGTATCACACTGCAAATGCCATTATACTGAGGAAAAAATCCCAGAACCCATCTCTCCTTTCTGCACAAACGTGCTCAGAGTTTTGCTGGTATGAGTTAAAGCTACACCATGGGAATATTCTGCCAGTATCCCATGCAAACACAGTTACCCTGGCAGTGCTCCTAGGGGTGCTGTATCTTCAATCTAACTTTTATTTTCTCTTTTTCCCCCCTTTCCTTTCAACTATTGTGGTTGCACAGCTCCTTAATTTTTGTTTTATCTTCAAAGTAGCATACCACATTTTCACAAAAGGAAGTATTCAAAATGGTCATTTAAAAAAGTTTATTACATCAGTGAATTAGCAAATAGTATTTATTTCCAACAAAGCCACATTATCTTTGTCTTCTTTCATCTAGATTTAGCTGTATTTAATAGTAGCAAAAATGGGACTATAAAATGTAGAATGGGGATGAAATGAAAAAGTTGAGACGTAATCTGAGGGCTGTTCAATTACAATGTACTTCCAGCTCTTCTACCCAAAATGCAGCCAATTAGTGTACATTTATGCCTTACATTTTCATATAAAATATTTGCATTCTATAGCAAATATATCCAAATAAAAACCTCCTACAGGATAAGGAGTATCTTTAATTGCATAATGTGGATTTTGTTAATGAATTGGTAATAATACAGCCTCTCCCTTTACAGACAAGGTGACATTAACAGGAATTATGGAAATGGAAATCAAATGCACTAGATGGGATGAATAATGGAAATACTCAGACTTTCTATCTACTGATACTCCAACCCACCAGGTGATTGATTATTCAGTTTAATATTAAATACTCAGTCCAGCCTCAAAATAATGAAGTTTTAAAAATCCCACATTAAGTTTGCTCAACAGTGGAAAACTGATGCTGGAACATCACGTAGTCTTCAGATACACTTCAATGCCTTAAAAAAAAAGTTTTAAAGGACCTAACAATTTAGGAATCTAACTGTAAGTATTCTCCAATAATGGTCTTTGCAAATTTCAAATCCATGAGCTTGGTTCAAGAAAAGTCAGAGATCTGGAAATCTTGTCAGTCCAGAATATGAACAAGACAGTAAGTTTCCTTGGCTTTTAATTTCTTCATTAGTTTAAGATCCAAGGAACCATGGGTTTTGTTCACTTGGTAGAAAAAAAAAAAGTTACTTTTAAAACTGATTTACCAAAAAAATAAAAGCCCAGAGATTTGCAGACATAATAAAATTTATTTAAATTCCATGCATTACGGTAGCTACAAGTGTAGTCATATGAAACTGAAGGACAATAACTTCTTCTGTCCATACAATGTAGCTGTAAGTGAAATGAATGGGAGTTCCACAGTTACAAAGAAACAAACAAAACAAACCAAAAAAATCCCAAAAAAGGTAAATCTGTTTCAGTTTTGAGTTTCAATTCAGATACAGTCACTAGACTGTAAACTTTTGGGGGAGAAGATGGGCTCACCAATTATACAGCTGAGAATGTTTAGTTTAAGATATTCTGAAGAAGCTCAGAAGATACCTTTTAATAATTACTACTAATACTCTGGAAAATGAAAAAAATCCCTTAGCCTTCATCCTAATTGTTAGAATCAGGACAGCAATTGCAGACAGTCCATTTTCAAAGTGCAGCTAAATAGGGTTTTATTATGCAGCTCCTTCAAGTTGTACTGAGTAAGCTTTACTTTGAACCAGTTTTGCTTTAGTTTCTCAAGAAAAACTTCACTGGTCCTCATAAGCTTACACTGCTTTTTGATATGCAAAAATTTACAGACTGTGCTTGATTCTGACCCTCCCCTATTTCAGTATGTGCAAACTCTTAGGGATTTAAATAGTCTTTCTCCCTCTCAGTTCAGACTGATCTTTAAAACAGCAAAGGATTATCCAGTCCTCTAAATTAAAGACAGGGTGAACTGAGTAATTTATGTAACTGGCACTTTTTAATTGGCCCAGTTCTCCCACAAAATGTAGCTCTTATAAATACTAATAGGCACTATTGCCACAGATTCTCTTATTTTTGCAAGTTTCACTGATTTACTGGTTGTTAGCATTTTCTGCAGTTAAGAATTTAATAATGCTGAACTTTTATAAAGACACAATATGTAGTTCTAGCTTCCAAAATTGACTTCCTGTGTCTAGTAATGATGTTAGGTCAACCTAAATTTGCTGGAGATATTAACAAATGTAAAGCTAATGAAGGTGCCACATTTGCATGAATGTTTTTTAATTTTCAGAATGTATTCAAGAAAGGGAAGGGGCAAACCTAATTATTTTAATACAAACTTGGTTGAGTGCCCAATTGCCTCATTTAAAACTGTGTGTGTGGGGAGGCTGAGGAGTTTAGAAAAGTCCAAGTAACCAAATATCCGGGTTACTGGGAAGTTAAAAAGCTAATGCAACTGCGTTACATCCGGATAAAAAACATTATTCAAAAGCAATTCCAATACCGAAAAAGATTTCAAATTGAATAGTTTATTAACATGGTAGTCATCTTTGTAACATGTGCACACACACTCGCACACTCTGAATGATCTGCCTGGAAAAAAGAGGTCTTACTATAGATGCTGGGGGAAATTAAACATTAAAAATCCTTTAGATTTTCATAATTGTAGGCAATTATGTCCACATCACTTACAAAGCTATTGCCGAATCTTTCCAAGGAAGCAGAATTTGGGAGAAAAAAAAAATTCTTTTTGGGAAAATTCAACAGTGGCATAGCAGAGCTCTCAATATGAGAAAGCTGACATAATGTGGACCTTTGCTGTGAAATTTGTCTTTGCAAAATATGGGGAGAAGTTTATCAATGGGCAGAAAATAAGACGGCGGTGTGAAGTAGGCTTTTGCTGAGTCGATTTTCCTCACAGTATTGTGCGGGGTCATTGAGAAAAATGCTTAGTCCTTCTCTGGAACCAGTTTCAGAACTTTTCCAATTGCAATGGTCTTACCTAAACCAAGGAGACAAACAGCAGAGTTATATTTACTGTGAAAGGAATGTAGACATCTCTAAGAACATGAAAACCTGCCCCAAAATGCAGGCTCTCAAGTATTAGAAATCACAGACAAGAAATTATGTTGTAGCATCAATGTATTTTAAAAGCGTGATAAAATTTTAAAAATAGTAAGCCCGCTATTCTGACAGCAAAAAACACAATGTGGATTGTGGAAAGCCTGCTTCTACCCTCATCTGAGGAGAAGGCAAGGCAGAATTACTACCAGACCTGTTTACTGCTTTTCAAATAATTTTCTTTAAACATATCCCACAAATCTATGAGTTTTACCAGGGTGTGCATGTTAAAGCCCAACATACAACCCCCCGATATTTTTCAACTTTAAATAGTGAAACTATGGTATTCATATTGTAGGTGGACGTTCCAGGACACATTAAAAAAGCACTGCTGGTTATTTTTCCAATCCAGTTTTTTGTTTCACAGTGCACATTTCTGTACATTATTCAAATATAACTGTCTCTGTTACTAGCAAGGACTCTGCACAATGACAACAATTTGCTTAGATTTACTTTTCCTTTGTTACCCAGAGAGTGATTTCCACCAGATAACAGCATTTTAATACCTCACTGCCACTCAGCTCCGAGTTCAAGGAAGCTTTTGCAGCACACAGTACGTGCTGCCTGTCAGTACCAGCCTTACCCTCATCCCTTAAGGTGAAGCGACCCATCTGAGGGAAATCTTTGAATGTCTCAAGGCAGATCGTTCCTGCTGTCCTTAAACGGGCAATGCAGACTTGATCTTGTTTCACAAAACGGGGCCGTGTCTTACTTTTTTCTCCTGTTTTTTTGTCTACCAAGCAGATTAAGGCCTGTATAAGAAAAAAAAAAAAAAAAGGTTCTTTTTCTTTATAAACTGACAGAATTTGTCTGAGAAAGAATATACTTACAAATACATGAAAAAGTTTGCAGTATTTATTCAGTCATGTCGTACACCACTTTTCAGAAGGCTTATGCTAACAGTTACAGCCATTTTTGTTTGTGTTAGAGCACAACTAAGAATTCCATTCAAGGCTGGAGCTTTGCTGCTTTAGTTGCTGTACAGATGTATGACATGACAGAACTCTGCTTATTTCTCAGCACAATTTAAAATGACACTTACTGTTATCTCAACTTCTTCAATACAGGTGTGGATGTGCAGCACTGCATTATAACCTGGGCAGATAATGGATTTGTGCTCAATTATCACTATCTGTAAAAACAATTCAAAATAAGTGCATTTTTCCTAATTTCAATTATAAAAGAACAGAGAATAATCAATGCAAAACTATATTAAAATGTCTATTGAACAACATACACACAAGTTTTTGTCAAAAAGCCAAAATTTGTAAGTCATTAGTTTATAATATGAAAGTAAAAAACTGAGGAACTGGCCTGATGAGGTCTTGCTTTCACCATTTTAAGTATCTAAAACTTCATTGAGAAGTTACATTCAAAACAACTTATATTTTAAAAACTCAGATTAATGTCGGTATTAAGTATATATGTTATTGCCCATTTAAGAGATATGGCAGTGAAAAAGAAATCTGAACTGAAATTTCAAATTACTCAAGTTTTGGTTTTTACCCCTCTATACAGCAATTAAATGTTGTTAATCTACCTGGGCATCAAATGTACGTCCAGAATGACAAAGGTTGTTGAGATCACAGAGAATAAATCCTGGAAGGATCTCTTCCTCTTCAATTCCCTTCAGTCTGATCTTTAGATTTTCACCTGGGGCTACTGAGTCAGTTTCTACATCATCAGAAAGGATTCCAAGAACTTCCACATTGTGCTTAAAGAAAACAAACACATAGTTTTGCATTGTGAGTATTCTAGTCTGGTGCAAAATAGTTGTAATCTAACAGTATTTCAATAAATAATTCCATTACAGTTTAGGTTCATGATATTTGGTTCTGTCAAGCTTCAGAATATTTAAAATATTTGAATGATGAATTACTACTACTTGAATTTTTTAAAAATAAGCTTTTTCAAACTTTTTTTTCCCTGTTTCCCTTCGGAGGAAAGAAAAAAAAAAAAGGAAAGGGGGAAAGAAATAAACTTTTGAGCAACATTAACCACAGCAGGTAAAAAGCTTAGTTGGCCAACTGTACAAACACGAAATAAAACCCAGTAGAAGTGTGATGATTTTGTAGTCCAGCAACTGAGTTTACTAAGGCAGGAGAACCCAAGTTCTGACTGCTAAGGAGCTACACACACCCCCCTGTCCCCAGACACATCACCCATGTAAAACATGAGAGCTTAGTTGTGTTCAACAGAGCAACAGAACATTTTCTGATTTCAACTAATGAGTATCTTTAAGAACCAAGCATCTTTTTTTATCGTAGTAAATTTTTTAAATACCTTGTTTGGCATCATCACAAGCTGTTGTCCTTTGCAAATAGAGCCTGACTCCAGCTTCCCAAGGACCACAGTGCCCATGTCCTTCACAAAAAGAAACCATTACACAGCAACTGAAAACATTTTCCTGAAGAATCCATTCTATTTGTGATTTACTTCTGAGTCTGATTACTTAACTCTATGAATATCAAGCACTGCTAGACTTAGTATTTTGTAAATTGATCTCGTGAAAGATTAATAATGACAATATTATTTACTTCCCCTTTCCTCCTCTATTCTACAGTTGGAAATGTAACATTAGCAAAGAAAAAAAGATATCCTCTAAAAGTACAGTAAATAGTCCTTTTACTGCTTTCTGAAAACAGACTCTTTATACTTTCTATGTTATTATTTTAATCTGTACCTTATATTTATCCACAATTGGCAGCCTGATTGGTCCATCGACTGAACGGTTGAAGTTTGGCAAATTATCCAGGTATGGAATAAATGGTAATCCACTAAAAGAGCAGAAGGCATTTGTTTCAATTTCGTGAGCACCCTTACATTTAAAAAAAATTACTCAGAATGGATAAATGTAGTGCAACAAAAGGAATCATTTTCATCTTGTCATCATTTAGAACAATGACCTCTAGGACAGCTAAATATATTATAACATCCCATCAGTAGTGTCCACTTTACCCCAACCAGCATATTAATACCCAGGAAATGCATGTTTTAAAGTTACATTACAGGCAAATTTTACACAATTATTCCTTTGAGACTCGCGACAGATGTGAAACATATTTTGGAAATACAAAACCATAAGCTAGGTCCAAATGTGATTTCCATTAATTCTTTTTAAAGTACACTGAACAATATTGAAAAACATGACATCCACTGAGAGACATGGCTTGTCCCCAATTATAATACAGCTTCAAGCAAACTGTTCACATCAAACAATTACTCATTCTAGCAACATCAGCTGCAGCATCACTGGCAAATTCTAGTGCTCATAAGGCACTGAACTCACACAGCCAAAGAACACTGCTAATATTTTACCAATAATCTTCTGCAGTTTGCAAATGCTTTTCATTGGCACATTGCATGGCTGTGTTCTTGTTGCTCTGGCTGTGTTTCCTCAAGCACTTTGGCACACAACTACAACATACCACGCTCTGCTACCTCCCAGCTTCACTGAAGCATTTACTTTTATTGTAATATAGCAAATATTCAAGTTGCTCAATTTAAGATACATACATATACCAAGGACAGAATTCTGACTGTTCTTTAAGGTTTGCTCCAGTCAGTCCTGAGCAGGGCATGAAATGAATGTCCTTTTTGGGATTGAAGCCAACTTTCTTCAAAAATGGCACCAGTTTCTCTTTACATTCCTCATATCTATTAAAATGACAAGCAGATCAAGGTAAATTCCACTCATTCCATCATAACATAATCCTGTGCTTTAAAAAACATGCAGACATTTCAGTTCCATCAGTTAAGTTACTTGTGAGCAGCAAGCAAGCCTAATGAAAGTCTGGAGGCCTATTTGCATCTTCTCCCCAACCTTCCAGCACAGCTTGGTGTTGTCCATTCCCCTGTTCCCCCTCACTGCTCTGCTCCATGAAGCATCATCAGTCTCCAGACACCTCAATGACAGGGCTGGGGGAGCAGCAGCACAAGCTGGAGATCCAGGCCAGCACAGCAGGACAGACCAGGCAGACACCTCCTGAGGTCATGCTCCAGGCTGCACTTCAGAGCTGGCTCAGTCTCCTCCAATCTCCTACACGCTTTCTGGAGGTTTCATGCTATTTATTTCTGTCACACTGCCTCCTCTCAGTTTGGGGTGAATTCAGTAATGTCAGAAGGTTGGGGCAGGACCAAGACAGAGAATTGGGTGTGCCTTAGTCTCTTAGTGAAGCAGGCTGACATTCCAAGGTTGCACAGGCCCTCATGGCTTCCCACTAAAACTTCCTCAGTCCTGGGCAGAACACACAGCAAGTTCTCTGACAACTCTGGCAACCTCGACTACTGAAAACACAATCATTGCCTTTTTTAGACTCAGTATAAAGTTTCCAAGTCAACAATTAAACTATGCTAGAATGCATGGGTTTGTTAGATATGTCTGCACGGATCCAAGCAGTTGACAGTGAATGCTGGAGTGTAGAACTTCCAGCTTAACTGACACTGTCCTAGGCACGGAGCTTCTGCTTTTCCTGCCAGTTTTATAACCTCTGTCTTTAGTCCACCACTCAGCCATTCTTTCAGCAATAACCTGATACAAAAATTACTTTACCTAGGAATTATTTTACTGCAGTATCTGTCAAAGAAGATTAGTTTTTAAATATTAAACTCACCTTTCATTACTCCAGTTTACAGTTGGATCATCCATTTTATTAATAAGAACTATTAAATGCTTTACACCTGCTGTTTTTGCTAACATGGCATGTTCTCTTGTTTGTCCACCTTTTTCAAATCCAGTTTCAAACTCTCCTTTTCTTGCAGAAATAACCTAATTAAAGATACATATTTTTATAAGAGTTCTACAGTTATCTCAACAGAACAATCAACAATACTGCCTTATTAAAAAAAAACTTTGGGTAGTCAGACCTAGTAAAAGCTTCCAACATGCACTGGTATATCCTCAGTATTACCCATTACTTTCTGCACTGACATGTAAAAAAATCACATGACACCTGTGGACAGCTTTAAGAAGCTGTTAAATTACTCCAGACTCATTAATCTCAGTAAATGTAACATTTGAAAATTCTGCCTGCTGTAACCGAAAGAATAAAGCAGCAAACAAGAAATAAAAATCAGAAGCTTAATTCCACAGTATATGCAAAATAGAAGTATCAGCTTTGTCCTTACCAGCACAGCCAGATCAGCTTGAGAAGCCCCACCAATCATATTTGGAACAAAGCTCTTGTGTCCAGGAGCATCTAAAATAGTGAAGTGTTTCTTCTCCGTTTCAAAATAGGCACGACCCACTTCTACTGTTTTACCTTTGTCTCGTTCTTCTTGGTTTGTGTCTAAGGCCCACGAAAGGTACCTAAAAAATCCCAACCCAAATACTCTATTGTTGTATTAATTTTTATTAAATTTATATATAATTTGTTAGTCATAAGAGATCCTTTTATTTGCTTAACAACCTCAGCAGTGCTAAAATCAAGCATTTCCAAGACCAACAGTGATTGTGACTGATTTGTGTGTACAGTGAGCCAGTGAGCTGCAGAGCCCATTGCCAGCTCTCCTTCACACACCTACAAGGATTCAATTCCAAAAATTCTAATAAAAAATTGTCATTTTTTAAGTTCTTCAGCTGTGATCTAACTTCAATTTAAGTTTTGCCTCAGTCTCAGAAACACCTCAGAATCACATACAAAGCAATTCTTCCTTCTCAGCATAATTAACTAAAACATTAGTTCTGATTTGCATATATAATTACAGAGAGTTATAATTATTAGTTCTCATTTATTTGCACGTATTAAGCAGAAATTGGCTATGAAATAGACACCATCTTCATTCACACTATCACACTATATTTTCATTATATTGACTCTTGTCCCCTCCCAATAATTTTTCCCACATTTTTCAACAAGTTAGCTTTCAGTTAGATAAACTGAAATTTAAGAAAAACCCCATTACTTAGCTCCTTCAGGATTTGTGAAAACTGGTGAACATAAAGAAGAAAAAAAAATACTAAGGATAAAAAAGTGGTGATAACTCCATTGAACTGGTTTCACATAGCAATATTTTTTGCCATTAACAGAAGCTTGTAGACATCCTTAGCTTTTGTTTTGTAGTGACTGGGTGAAAAGAGCGATGTCACCTTTCTACTCCCCCCTCTCACACTGAGTTCAGGTCAGTGCCCATCCCTCAGGGCTCCATTGCTGCTCTACCCCTAAGGAAGTTTTTAGCTGCTCCTTTTCCAGAGCCCTTTGAACCTCTATTATCCTCCAGCCAAAAAGGGAAAGCTTTCAAAAGGGAAATCAATTTTGCAAGAGTTGATTGAAGCAGAAATCAGACTGCTACATGTGCTGTATATACACACATTGCCCCTCAAAACCCAACCAACCAAAAAACAACAACAAAACCCAAACCAAACAAGAGACCCACAAAAAAATCCACCCAGGACAAGAGCACCATCTTGCCTGGAGGAAGCCAGGGCTACTGAGACAGACTAAAACCAGTTTCATTGCAGTAAAGTGCAAAATGTGCTACTGTCTTCACAAAGTTCATACCATGTTTCTCTGTTTTTTTCTTTAGCTTCTCTTTCATATTTTTCAAGTGTTCTTTTGTCAACCATTCCTGTCAAATACCTAAGAAGGGGGAAAATAAAAGTGCAATTTTACACAAAATAGAAAGATACTTCCAAATAGTTAGATCTTATACAATCCCTGTAGATTACTATAATTGAGAAATAAAGATTTTTTTTTTTCAATCTTCACAGAAAGGACAAAGTTTAACCAATGGTATAAAGCAGTTTCAAATTGCATTTTAAAATACACAGAAAAACGGCCATGTTCTAAGAAAGTGATTAATTTTTAAAATTTGATGATGTTTACTTTTGCATAGTTGCTTCTATTAAGTGAAAATCCTATAGCAATAACATCAACGTGCTGGAATTAAGCAATTCCAAAGAACAATAAGTACCTGAATCGACAAGGATAGAAATATTCTGTTACAAAAGTATTACATACACTGATTAAAGCCACAAAGAAAATATTACTCATTTTAATTGATGTTTTATAATTCACACGAACAGGAAATCTAAAAATTTAGGAGTTTCCTTACATTATTTGTCCTCCAATAGTTGACTTGCCAGCGTCTAAAAAAAAAAATTAATTCAAGTCATCAACAATGTACAATTCTAGAAACAGCACACCATTACAAGCTAAGTCATTTACTTTATTTCCAAATGATTTATTTCTTGAACCATAATCGAAGTTTTTGGAAGCATCTTGCACCTTCCCTTATTCCCATTATAATTTATCGTCAATTAAATTAAACCAAATCTTGAACATGCTGTTTTCATAAATATAAATTCAGCATTATCCAAAACTAAAACTCTTCACCAAGCAGGGATCCAGCTAAAGCCAGGGTCAAGAGTGTGGGAAGCTCTTGCAAAATCCTCTTCCCTGCTTGCTTTATCCTTTGTCCCTAACTTGTGTGGGCTGCTCTTCAATATTGGGATGCACCTCTGCCCACAGCCCCTTAACTTTGTGTGACTCCATTCTAAATTTACCCAAGGACTAAATTACAGTACTTTTAATGTGATAAGTAACTATAGAAATGAAAACACAGAATTTACTATATAACTTGTGATTCAATAATTCTTCTCTACTTCTGACACCACCCAAGTTTTTATGAAGTTTGTTGAAACTATTAAATGAAGATATTTTGCTATAAATGCTTAACTATGAATCATGTTAAGCTATTGTTGTAACCCCACAAATTTTAGTATTTAGAATAATAACTTTTGAATATAATAACAAGAACCCTTTTTATATAAAATAAGCAGATAAGAAGCACCATTTTCTGATTTTGTTGTTTAGATCAAACACAGATGGGTCACTTCAGCACTCAACAGGAGGAGGTACTTGAGAAATCATGAACACAGGCACTGTTGTGCCCCAGAGAACACACTCTTGGTACTCTACCCCTGACAGACTTTCAAATTTTTCGTTTTCCAGAGCAGCTTCATTAGAATGAATGCTCCTGTGAGCCTCAGGCCATGGTGAATATGAAGAAAAGCATTAATTTCTGATCTCAGAGTTCTAGATAATGCACAACAGATAGATCCAATTGCTTCACCTTTGTTACAACTTACCTACATGTCCAATGAATACTACATTTACGTGCTCTTTTTTAGGAGCACCTGGAGGTGCTACAACAGACTTGGGTTTTGGTATTTCCTCCTCCTCTTCCATCATTTCCTGAGCACTCTCTTCAGAAGGCCCTGCATCCCCTGCAGGACCACCTCCTAGCTCTGCTTCACTGGGTTCTTCTTTGTGGTCCCATGACTCTTCTGGGGACATTTCTGTCTCTCCATTTTCCACTAAAAATGAATCAATTAGATATATTCAAATAGGTAAAGAACTGAAAAAGAATTACCCTGGGGAAAAGCCCCTGTCCCAAAGGTGCAATCACAAGGCTTTAACTACGAGGTCTGTTAACATTTTCCTAGAGAAAAAGGGACAACTGTTGTTTGTTTCTGAAATTATTATACCAGGAGCTTTCAAGCTACCTGACATAAGAAATCTAGGATACAGAAACTTCTGCTTTAACAAGGCAATTTTCCAAAGAAAAAGCAAATCCAAAGATCCAGTCAGAGCAGCAGAGTCGGCATCCACAGACACACACTACCATATGTTTAGAAAGCAAAGGAGAAGAATTATAGTTTAAGATCACTCATAAGCCATATAAAAACAATGAGAAAGATATAATTTCCATGCTCTGATTGTTCAAGTTGCTGACCACTTTAAATTTTTTTGCTAATCACCATTCCACACATGTTAATGGGGCTATTTTGTAATATGAAATAATGTTTTAATAAAGCACTGATCATTTTACAGTGTCCAAGTAAACCAACTGCAGCTCTCAATGCATACTAGGGCTCAATTACCTCTTTCCTCATCCAAGTGTAAAGATACAACAAAAAGCACCAAGGACTATTTGTAAGTGTAAAGGCTCTACTATTTTGTTTGCAGTGATTCAGCAGAAGCAGTGCAGTAGTACATCATAGTATTGTCATAGTGAAAAGAAACAATTCTCATCTTACCAACAGATTCTGAAATTTCCATGTTAACAGCAGCATTTGAACCTAGGAGAAAAAGGGTGGAAAAAGAATCATTAAAGACACATACCTAACATGACAGCAATCAGGAACAGAGAAAAATGAGTGACTGAATAATTAAAAGGATAGTTCAGGTGTTTTGGCACTTGCCAAAGCTTTTCAATATACAGGTTCATTTTGAAAATTCACGCTTCACGCTAGTTTTATGATCTTCCATAAGCCACTTTATGAGCCTTTCTCAACTGCCTATAAAACTGTAAATAACTACAGATAATCACATTGCCTTACAAGAGTGGTATGAGGATAATGAAGATGGGAAAAAGTTTATAGAGATTTAAAAGAAATTATTTGCAATATTTTTTTTAAAAATCATGTAATGAAGATCACAAAACCACGTACCTTCACAAGAGGCAGTCTGCTCCTCTGGGGAAGGCTCTACAGGTGCACCTGCAGAGAAAAAAAGTTTCTCTTTTAAAGTACAATGATGTGACCAATTTCCAAACTTTGCCATAAAAGATCATCTCCCAACTTTATTGCAAGAAGTGTATGGAAAGAATAACCACTTCCCTCCCCACCAAGTGGTACTAAACAGCCTCTAAGCATGAATACTGCTAAAGAGCACTTCCTAAACATGGTGAAAATAATTTTTCCCCCTGCATGGAAAGATACAGTTAAGGCAAGCAATTTTTCTATACATAGTATTTTAGTGCCCATCCTTTTTGAGCATGCTGGTTATTGGTAAGTGTTCGTGTCTAACGGGTGTTTAAAAACATCAATGCGGTTTCACTGTATCCAAAGACACAACGTGGTGTCACAACTGCAGGGAAAGGGTCTGCCAGCTGCTGCTTACAGCCATGTCTACACTGCTCTTATGCCTCACTTTCACTAAACGCTGAGTAGAAAATAGAAACAAGCTATTAAAAACAAATTCTTAGCATTCTCTGTAGTTATTAGGGTCAAGGGATGATAAACTCATTCAGATGTCTGGTAAGTTTGCCAGTCCTCTTAAACACCACTGCACAGTCCCATTACATGGAGGACAATCTCACTGGTCATGTGTTTCTATCAAGTCACAAGTTTTTTTTTTTGGATCAATTACTCAACTCTCTCATGCACTGAACCATGCCACTACATTTTATGCTGAGGTGTAACTAATTATTAAACCTACAAGGAGTGATACGTTTCAATTAACACACCACTCAATGTTTTGGGATGTTATTTCATATGATCAAGGGTCCTTTTATAATTATCCCTAAAACATGAATCTATTTAGTTTTCTCTTGGTATATGTTCAACTTCATAATGCTTTGAAACAAGTTCATTATCTTTTTTTGTTTTCCAACCACAAAATTCATACCCTCTGTTTAGCTGTACTCCAGCTCTCCTTCAACTGAATTCTAAAGACAGATCTTAGAGCATCACTTGCTCTATACACATGATGGGACCTAAAGACGAACCAAATCCCCTCAAAAGAACAAATCCATACAGAGAAGGAGCTGATTCTAAGCCTCTTTGCTTTCGCACTGTTTGCGGATTTGCTGCAGACTCCTGTAAAGTGGAGCAGCGCCGGGAGAGCTGGCAGGGGGCCAGAGGACAGGGCTCTGCAGGCAGGGTGAATGTGGGTCACAGCACAACACCCAGTGGCCAGCAGCAAAACAGGGAGGGGGCACAGCCATGCCCGACTGAAACCATTCCCTGCACTCCTGTGTTGGATCAGACATGAGCTACACTCCCAAAACAAACCAACCAGACTTGAAGAGGATTATTTAATATACTCAGTAAAAGCATAAGAATAGAATGCCCTTAGAGCCTTTTAAAGAAATGATCTATCACTCTCATTTGGCAGCTGGAAAAGACTCAAATCAGCCCATTTTTGGGCGTGGTAAGCAGGTGGCACAAAATCTAGGTATGAACCTAAAGCCTTCATTTTATAGCACATCAGAAAATTGTTGGCTATTTCACACATACTGTGGTTGGGATGCATAAATATTTTAATTACAATATTATTTCAACAAGCTTTTGATTTCACTCCAGAAGTTTGTCTATAATGAAAAATGTATCAAATAGCACTATTAATGACGTTGCCTTGAAATAGGAGTTCTGCAAGTGGTTGGAGAGCTAGTTAATTCCTCAGAAATAAATTGTCAATCAACAGCATCCATACAAACTCAGTTTTTACTTTCTGGTTTGCAATACAGCAGGTATGCAGACAGGAAAAATTCTTCACAACTAACAGACAGGAAGTAAAAAAAAAAGTTTCTCTGTAAATTTTGTACAGGTCTAGCACAGGAAAGTCAATAAGACATTTTGTGCACGGATGCTAAAGAGTACTAGTGCCACACAACCAGTGGGTAACAGATATTCAGCTATAACCACAGCCATTTATTCAACTCCGGTCACTTTGGTACACAAGTGGCAGATATGCTTTAGAAGAGGAAACTAAATGATATCAAACATATACTGTTAAGCAGGAAGAAACATAAACCACTCACTAAAGAGAATGATTGTTAAGAAATCAAGTAAATAAATAAAGAACCTTAATTTCAAAACTAACATGCTCTAAGTGACAAAAATAAACTCTTTCTGCAGTAATTGTTTACTTCTGATAAACAATTTCAGGTTGTCAGGTTATTTCAGACATTGGAACATTTCAGACAAAGGCTTTACCATTTACTCTGTGTGGAAGCGAACAGATTGCCTGAAATGTGCCATCACCTGAAAAGAAGGATGCAATCCTACTGCTTCCTAAGACCACTGGACTGGTGTATTTTGGTCTGTCACCTCATCTGTGAAGATAATTCAGATAGGAATCTTTCATATGAGAGGGATTCAAAACATACTTTTTAGAAAATCTGGTTTTAAAGTCAGGACGTGCCTTAAGTGACACAAATTTTTTAATGCCTCAAATTATTGGATTTACACATGATAAGCAACTGCTGGATTTCACACCTAACCCCACTCCATCTCTCCTTCAAGCCCTAAGTCAAGAACTGCTGTTGCAACCTTATCCAGGGTATTACATGGAGTGAGAGGTTTATCTTTAGTCCTGCTCAACATCAGAGCCTTAGGACACTTTTTGGAATATTTTTGTTGTCAATGCCAAAGGCAAAAACGGATACAGATGCTGCATTTATCTACTGGTGCCATCAGACAATAACATTATGTAATTCAGAGTCTTGTCTGGAAAAGGTAATTGTAGAGATTTTTTAAATGTAAAGTTCACTGGAAGAGTATGCATACTACCAATATAGAGTCCAAAACTGCACAACTTTTAAAATATGATGGCTGATCTCTTTAAACACATCTCATGTCCTAAAGAACACACTCTGCCTACTTCATTCACACAGCATTCTGCTACAGCTGATGAGTTTGATGCATATCACACTAAGCTTTGTACTTGTTTGCAATTCTGTTGTACAACCAAAGCTGCATGGGTACAACAAATCTGAAATTATCATCCAACCTCTGAAAACAGTGTTTTAAAAGACTGCAAGCCAAGAACTTCGCAGCATTAACATATTAAAATGCTTGCAGATAAACAATAGAAGATTGCTTTTTAATTAAATTTCTATTAGAATGTAGCACATAGTTATACAATAGTCATACACTCTCAACAGTTTTCATGCATTACATAACAGATATTTGCCCCCTTTTTTAAAAATGAAAGCATAAAGGGAATTACAGCAGAGTAAAAAATAATAGTCTGCATCAAACACACACAGCGTGAAAAGCAGAATAAAAAAACCCCAAGAGATTCTTAGATAACAAAAACACACAAAAATTACGTCAAGCACAAATAAGTGCTACAGCTAAACAAAGTGCTTTGTATTCAATACTTCAAATTGTACAGAAAGGTTTCCAGGAGTTCACTGTAAGGCAGTTGTTTTGAAAGTTAAACCCAAAATTATGTTCTTCTCTCTGCCCTGCTTTATAGCCCATGCCCCAGCTTCACCAGTGGACACACCGGTTTTTAAAATGCATCAATGCAAGATCAGCTTTAATAGTTCAACATGACTGTAAAATTCACAAAAAAAAATTACCACTTGTTTCTTACTCCTATTACATGTTAGCTTAGTAAAAGATCCACCTTTTTCCTTCCCCAGTGAGGACACACCTTAAGTTTATCTTATCTAAACTTGACATGCTTCTTAATAACTAAGAAAGCTTATGGGGATTTTCAGGGAATATACTGAAGCTCTCTTTTGCTTAAGGCCAAGTATTTGTGCTCAGTTGATAATTTGATTTTTAAGACAGATAATCAAGAAACCAAGCTCAGTATTTCAACAGTTCAGGATTCAAAGCAGCAAATTACAAAGATCTCTCATAATGTAGTATCTTTAGTATAATCCATATTTTTAGTATTGCATCACCTGTCCTAAACTAACTTTTGTATTGAAATACAATCACTGTCCTTTTCCCACAGACCTCTTCAAAACTTAGTCATTAATTAAATGTATTAAATTATGACTTCTTTATTCCTTCATAATAAAAAACACAAAATAAAACCATCTTTCTATTTTAGCTTCATACAATCAGCTGCTTCTTTTGGTTGTACATCTCTCATCACAAAACAGGAGAAAAATGCCAAAATTCCTTAAGTGGAACTGTGAAACCAGATTATATATACAATCCAAAAATTATCTCACTTTATTTTTGTGATCATTTTGATAGAGCAATCAAGTTTTAAGATAACACCATGCCTTCAAACACATTCAAGCAGTAGCCCAAAGCAGAGTGCCAAACACAGGCTGCCTGCAGCCCCCAGGACAGTTCATGCAGTCACAGCCAACTCCCAGGGGTTTGTGTGTCTTTTACTGGAGTCATGCAAGGCCATGAGGGTGATCAATTATTCTAACAGGAGCAACACAATCCTGGCCACCTTCCTGGGGGCACTTTAGATGTAGACAAAGGACATCTGTGTAACACATTGGCACCCTGAGTGCATCACACAGGTATTTTATATCTGATCACCTGTCAGTGCCAGGACACCCAGCCTTTCTCTGCACTGACTGTTTTAGAAGTGGCGGTGCAGCTCATCTGTCTAGAGAAGCTGATACAGAAGACTGCTCTAGATAGTCAAGTGCCAACTCAAATCAAGATTTTTCAGATAAGAAGAATTTATCCCACATCCTGGCACTGACATTACAACCTTGATTTGCTGCCATGTGAGCAGTTCAAGTTTGCAGTTCTGAAGGATTAACAGTAGCACTACCAATACTTGTGAAGAAATCATCAGCACACGGCTGTTCAAAGGCTGACATGAACAGTCATGTAACCCCTTTAACACAGCAGCTTCTCGAATTGTGGGCTACTGGTCTTAGACAAGCCTTTCTCAGCAAGTTCATATGCAAAGTGAAGCCTCTTTAGGACTGAGATGTTGAAGAGTGTCACAGTGTAAAATGAGATAACAGGCTTTGGGGGACCCAGCGGTACAGATAACTCATCATCCTGCTCTGGAAACAACAGGTTTCAGAACTGAAGCAGAAGATACTGAAACCCCACCTCTTGTGTCTGACATATGGATGTTCCAGCTGCTACAAGGTCAGAAAAAATGAGGGCAGGAGAAAGTAGGAAGAAAAATGCAGTAACCATTTATTTACAGCACTTGAAGGCTGAGCATGTCCAGCTGCTTGAATGCAACTGTTTCAGAAGTGACTACTGCAGGCAAGTGAGGATATGTAGGCAGTGAAGCAAACAGCAGAACTGAATCTTAAGCCAGATGTTTGCTTGGCTCAGGACTGTAGGTGCAAGTTGTTTAAACTATAGTCATTAACAAAGACGTTTAGAAATTCATTTGAAGTGGTCAAGAGAGCTACCAAATTAAACAGTAGCCCTAACACCACCAAAAGGACAAATGCTCTCTCCTTACACCAGCTGCTGTGTGCCACACTTTTTATTCTTATTACTTTGATACTAATGATACTTTTTCTCTTGCTAGTACCACTACATACTTCAAATCAGTGAACAATTCAGGTTGGAAGGAATCCCAGGAGTTAGCTAGATTAGTCTCCTGCTCCAAGCAGAGTCAACAGTGAATACTTAAAAATTATTTCTGAAAAGAAAAACTAACACAAAATATAGTAAAGACCATACAAGGAAGCTGTGATAAATCTTACCAAGAATGCTGTGAGCATTCAAGAACTATAACAAAAATTGAACCACAAAAATGCAATTGATGCTGCATTTTCAAAAACAATTTGATTCTCTCATACCCATAAAAAAAAATAGGAATCTTATTAATGGGAGGTTGGTGTTAACTATTGCCTCTGAACCATGCCTTGATACAGAAACAAAGAAAAAGCCACCCAAACATAATTATCTCCTACATACAACTACAAAATTAATAAAACATAGTTCAAAAAGAAGTCACAGAAGCTACAGAAGAGTGAAGGTGCAAGGCACAGTTGTGCCTATGAACATTTGGAGGCCCTAACACAATCTACTGTCATTTCATTAAGTATCACACCTGGCCTTAATTTAGTTGAGTTTGCTAGTCCAGCAGCTGCCACAGTCTCCCCCGAAGTACAACATGTCTGTGGCACCCTCTCAGTTCACCTGTCAAATAACTCTGCTGCAGCCATGGCTGGCACAGACAGAAAACCAAAAAGTCTTCATTTTACATTTCCAATAGAATCCAACAATGACAGATTTTACACAAATGAGTTTGACTTGGACACAACTTGATAAAAGCAAGTTCTCATAGCTACAACATTTAGAACATACTGGATTTAGTATATTCCTTAGATTAAAACATGTAAATAATATGCTTTTCCTATATAATCAAATTATAATTTCAGAATTATTTTGGAATTAAATTATCTCTGAGAAGAAGTTATATTGGTGGTAAACACCATTCAGCTTTCTTCCTAATGAAAAACTACCAATCAAAAGAAAGCATGTGTAAACAATTTTTAAAGTAAGCTATTAGGAATGCAGGTCTCAGGAGCTTCCCAGTTTTAGAAAGTTAACATCTTATTCCACAAATGGCTCCTGAGAGTGCTCCTTCTGTGCTCTAAACATAAATGACAGGAATTTTATTCAAATGACTAAAAATATTAAGTTAATGTGCATGAAAGGAAACACTACTACACATTGCAGCCACACAATGGAATCAGTCCTGTGGAATTTTTATATGCCACGCTGCTACTACACATTTATACTGATCTATAATGGCCTTTGAATTACTCAGGAATTACTACTTGAACAAAATCTCACCAAGAGAAAGTTCCAAGAAGAAAAACACTACTAGAACTTAACTTCAGGCCACTGAAATTCCTGAAGTGACACCCAACTTTTTCGATTTCTTAAGGTTTAGATTAATCAAGGGTAATTTAAGTTCTTCCCATTACAAACCACCTAATGAAGAATGAGTGTCACAGAGCACCTAATTCCCTATGAGAACAAAAGCAAACTGGGTTGCTGAAAAGTAACCAATTCAGCACTATTGTCTAATCACATGTTCTGACTTATTTCCAGAGCAACCTCCACCTAGTTCTTCCAGCCAGGAAAGTAGTTGTCACCTTACACAAACATCTGCAAAGAGAAGACTGTCAATTACCTTCTGTAACCAAGCACATCACACCTGGAGGAGTACAGTATTCCAGTTAGGAAAGAAATTAAATTTTTTTAACTGCAGTTTTTGTCTGCCTAATCTTAGGGACATTGAAGCTACTTAGAGAAACTCAAAATCCTAAACCTTAAAGAAGATATAGTAATCAAGGTGAATTCAAAGCAGGTAGATTATAGCACTATGTAGGAAATGTACTCAGCAACTAAGACATGAAGCAAAGCTATCCTGATTACTCCAGGTGATCAGACAGCTTTCAAGTTATCCCTAATTTCTGGAAAGAATTTTTCCAAAATTCAGGCTCATCACAGGCTGCAGAAGTAGCAAAAGAGTGGAGAAAAGAAGAGTAAAGAAATAATGAGCAGGTGAGGAGATGTAGTTTAAATTCCTACCAAAAAAAACAAACTATAAAAAGCCTTCAATGACACCTTACAAAAGCAGTAAGGAGGAAAAAAAATAAAAATTATTCTAATAATATTCAAAACACTAAGAAAGCTTTCAGTATCGATTACATAGCTAAAAAAACCCAAATATTCAATTCAGATTGCAACATCTGAAAAATACAAGAATGGATTTTGAAGATTAGTCAAAGGTGCACCACGTGTTCATCCTAGCCCCAAGCTACCCAGTCTACCTCTACATCTGTGAACTTTAACATGTACATTTATTCTAAATGGAATTTCTGAGTCTGCTCATGACTTCTCTGAAGTTTATTTTAATGCACTTAGACACTCTTTGCCTACACAGTAGATGAGCTACACTTCTGCTAAAAATCAGGAGTGTTGAACAGCTCTAGAGAATGTATAATCTAAGATAAGGAACAGGTTAATATTTTGTTACAAAAATATTAAGTATCATATATAAAAGTTACAGATTTTAGTTGTTAACAACTATTAGCTTTAGATACTAGGGAAATCAAACCAAATTAATATATTAGGGCAAAACATAATAAATAATAAGACACAACCAACAGGGAATCATGCCAAATATAATGTAACAAATAGTGTCTTTAGTGAAATTAAATTACTAGATAAATACCTGAAACGCTAGTTTGTTTCATATTATACCAATAGGGATGCAGAAAATTATAGGAAAAGTTAGGAAGATCTCAAACTCCTTAACAGCAGGAGTGACACTAAAACACTACCACAAAGTTAAGCAGCATATCTGATGTTTGCAGGAACCTTCAGTTTGGAGCTGGAAATGGAAAAGTAGCTCTCCTTTAATTTCCCATATGCAAAGTAAATCTAGTATAAATACTGGTTGCGTACACAAAGATCCTTTTAAATTAAAAGCAGGGTAAATTTCAGGTTATTCCATTAGCTGAGGCCAGCTGGACCAAACTCCTTTCCCTACTAATCCTTTATCAGCATTATGTTAGGAAAAAAAAAATTACTTGATATAATCTTCAAAAAGACATATAAGATACACCTGAGCCACTGGTGGCTGAAGCAGTGCTTTTCTCCCCAGCAACACTAAATATACTACCTGAAAATCTTCAACAACTCCTAGAGTATTATATGTTATATATTATACATATTACATATCTTATATTTATTTTATATATTATAGGAAGAGCAGACCTATGTGGTTTTTCTCATCGTGGGTGATCTTTCGCGAGCAAAGGTCCCAGCGAAACGCACCCGGGATCCACGGGGATCAGAGCACCCCAGCTCCTGCTGCTCCGTGGGCAGAGCACCCGCGCCCGGTGCGGCCTCGCAGCCCAGCCCGCAGAGCCCCGCACCCCGCCGGGGCCCCGCGAACTCGGGGGCTGCCTCGGGGCCGACAGCGGCTGCCCTGCGGTGCTCCACGGCCCCGCCGCCCCTTCCCCAGCCCCTCTGTGCGCAGGGCCCCCCCGGCCGTGCCCCTCCCGCCGGGGAGACCCTCCCGCGGTCGGACCCCGCTCCCGCCCCGGGCCGTGCCCCCCGCGCCCCTGAACCCCGGGCCGCCCCCCAGTCCGGCCCGGCTCCTCGCCCGCCCCGCGTGGCCCTTTCCCGGCCGCCGCGGGCCCGGCACCCTCGCCCCGTTCCCTCCCAACATGGCCCCCATCCCTCCCTGCCTCCTTCGCCCTCCGCGGTGCCGGCCCCGCGGTTACCGAGCAGCGGTGGCGGCGGGAGGCCGGGCGGGGGCGAGGGCGGTGGCAGGCCGGGCGCCGGGCCGCCCCGCAGGAAGGACGGTACGAACTCGGCGGCGTGGACGTTGGGCACGAAGGGCTTGGCGTTGACGTTCAGCTGCCGGCTGAAGGCCGCCCCGAGCAGCTCCTGCTGCGCCTCGGCCTCCGCGGCCGGCGGGGCGCAGCCCGGGCCGGCGCCGCTGCCCGGCTCGATGTCCGCCTGGTCCCAGCAGTCGGGAGCCGAGTCGCTACTGCTCCCGCTGCCGCTCCCGTTCGCCTCCATTTCGTGGCGGCCCCACAAGGCTCCGCGGCCCCGAAGCGTCTCCCGGGTGAGGGGGGAGCCGGCGGCGGCACCGACTCAGCACTCGCTCCGCCGATTCCGCGTGTGCTCCGCCGCCCCGACGCGAGCGCAGTGTGGCCTCTTGGGCCGCCGTACCCCCTCCCGGCAGCCTCTCCTACCGCCATCATAGTAGTTTTTGTCACCCCCGGCCCTCCTACTGCTGCACGTCCGAGGCGCGGCGCAAGAACTACAATACCCGCCATGCCGCACGGGCGCACCCGCGGCCCGCCTTCTGAGGACAGACGGGAAATGGAGTTGCTTGCTCTCCTTGCGCATTCAGGAACTGCAACTCCCGGCGGTCCCCACGCGCGCCGTGCGTCCCTGCCGGTCCCGCCCCCTCTTCCAGGGGGATGCGGGACACGGAGTTGGCGCGAACGCCTCAGGCGGGACAGGAACCGCCCGGGTCGGCTGCCATCGGTGTGAAATCACAGCCAACCCGTCCTGCAGAGCAGAGGTGCAGAGGGACAGGGCAGTGGTGGCGGCAGAACTGCCGGGGAAGCTGTGGGAGCACACACCCTCCAAAGGGATGCAAGAGGGAACGCTGCCCTACCTGTCCAGCTAAAGTGCACAGGATGCATGGAAAGTTCCAATTTTGGTAGTTCTGTAGGACACTTTGGTTTGGTTGTTACCATATTAAAAAAACCATCCACTTAAGCCAGTCAGTAGGACTTTCCAAATACTGAGTCCCTCCCTCCACTGGTATGACTCTTAGAAGTTTTTAAAACAAAACCTCAACAAACAAACCCAAAATACATCGCTTGAAATTAAGTATATTTGGAGTAAACAGCGCGGAACAGAGGGGAAACAAGTAGACTTTGGTTATGGGGTTGCAGGAGGCTGAGGCAGCATTTTGTCTTGTAAGGTACGGTGTGTTTATAACTCCACAAAGCAAATACTTGAGAGTTTCTTGGAGTGCTGACATGTGAGGACTGAGTCATCTGCGGCATTATTCATATTAGAACACTGTAGGACAGATTACAGAGTTGTTTGAAAGCAGGTGGTCTTAGAACTAAAAATGAAAGATCTCCATTTGGTACAAAATCCAGGGTAGTTTTTTGGTTGGAGAACAAAAAAACTCCTGAAGGGGCATTTGTGTAACGTAATCCTGACATGAGAACCAGAGGGTTTCTGGCTGCACACCAGCAGCAACATGTGGGCCATGGACAAACAAAAACTTCTACATGTGTTAATGGAAATATGGGCTTCCAAGAGATCATATCCAGGGAAAACATTAGTGTGGAGGGTAGCACTTACAAAAGCAAACAAAAACAAAACCTCCCCCCAAAACCCGAAACCCCACTAACACCATAGAAAGTTCATTTTGGAAGAAAAAGTATCACTTATAATGAGAGACTAAAAACTTCTGCCTAAGTGGAAGCCTTTCCTTCAAGCACCACCAGGAGGTTGACCCTAACCCTATTCTCGGGCACAGAGTTACTTTCCAGTTTTCAGACATTGTCAGTCCCTATTTTTCAAATTGAGTGTAATTAAGGAAAAGTCTCACTTGTGCTACTGTTGTAATATTTGAAATTTTGTCAGGCTACAAGTAAGTCCCAGCTGTGATTGCATGGCAATCACTTTTCTGTTCAACAAATTGAAAAGAAGTATGCAGTGAATTGTTTGGGTTTGTTTTCTTTTAGCGCTAACCTTTTCTTGTTAGGTGACCTTTATTAACAAAGAGGTGTCTGATACATTTCACATAGTATGGAAACAAGGTAGCACCATATCAGCACTCAGGGGTTACTAGTGTTGAATAATAGACAAAACTCCCGTGGAGAGCAAGTTGCATGCTTGTTTCTGAGCACCTTTTACTGTCACTATGAGCACTTAACAGCTCAGGTTTATAATGAGTGCAACGCTGTCCTGCAAGCTTGTGTTTTGTTTGGGCCCTGACACAGCCTACAGGTCTGGAAAGCCTTAACTGGAGGCGGGTGCTGCCTTTTCAGAGCAATTAAGACATACCTTAAGATGACCAACACACAGAACACAGAGACAGCAATTCTTGCACACATTTGGGCATTCTTCTTAAATGTTTTTGAAACTGAGCTCCTGAAGCATAGAGTTGTGATAATTTTTTGTGTTTGTGCGTTGGGAGTAGGGCCAAATACGTGTTTGATCAGAGGTGCAGAAGTGCATATTACCACTGATTTCAGGGGAAAAGAATTAGTAGTGTTTCACAACCTTTCCTCCTTCCTTGACAGGTACTTATTCCTTAGGTACTTGCTAGGGATAAACAATTAGTCCACAGAATTTCAGAAGATGCCAAATGTCCTTCAGAGTGTACAAACCTGTTTTGCAGGCTCTCATGCATAGGAATTGTGTAAACTCAAACACTAAATTTTTAACAGAGCTAGTAGTTTGTTTTTCCACTTTGGAACATCTGGTACTCAAAACAAAAGTGGAATTACGATAATTTTACTGGCAAAATGTCCACTGGAGTGTAAATGGTCCTGTTTGCTTGAGGTTTTAAACCATCATAAAAGCTTTTCTTGTTCAAATCTCTTCTTCATCAAAATGTTTAGAATAAATACATCAGCTCTTCATTTAATAAATACTAAAATGCTTTTCTTATTGAGAAATACCCATATAAATCCATCCTCACATCATGACTGACTTGAGTGATCAAGACTGTCTAGAAAAGAAGAATCTGGCCCAGCTTAGGGTTAACATATGATGACTGAGGGACAAAGAAATTGTTCCCCCCATGGCTGCAGTTCTACCATCCTTGTACTGCCTCTGAGCTATTAGCCCTTGTGCTGTGTCTGTCCAGCTTATTAAATTTAGTGACAGAGCAATCCACTTTCTTTTTCCTCCTGGGCTATTCAGATGAATCAAATAAGAGGCAACTGACAAATTCCAGGGTTGGTGTAAAGTAAGAATGTGGAACAGGACTTATTTTTTAGTGAGTGCAAGTTATTAATACAAAAAACTATCCCAAGGCAGCTTCACTAATTTGCAGCCTGTAGTGAGTCAGTCCTGCAGCAGTGAAATGAAGACCCCTGTTCATATTAGGAAGAGTGGTCTGTACTTTGGTAGTAACTTCCACCCAAGCTCTCACAAGCACTTTGCAGCCTGGCAGGGTCACCTATGAAATACCAATGCTTTAGCCATGTGAACTGAAGCAGGAGAGAAAGATGTATTTCACTAGAAAGCTCCAGACAGGTTAACAGCTTCAAGAAGTTCCTTGCTCACCACCAACAGGTAAGTTTTAAAATTCCATAAACTACCAACACCCTTAAAATGGAAAGAGCATTGCTTTAGGGTGCTGAGTTACAGTTGAATTGACTCAGTTTACCTTGACATCAAGTAACTTCCTGAGCTACTGCAACATGGGAAAGAAACATTTTGGCTGAGACTGGGAGGAGCAGGAAAGGAATACAACTTCCCTTTCTGGTGTGGCAGCAAGCTGGGATTTGAGTGACGCACTGTGAGCCGTGCCCTGAAATTTAAAGGTGTTCAAATATGCACAGTAGTTATACACCTAAATGAGTAGCCTGATATGTAGAACTGCTTTGAAGTTAGAAACAGCCTTTAAAAACAAAGCCAAAGGGACAAGTTATTTACTTAGGAGAAAGAAAAGACAGGAGGTAAGAGGTAAATTATCAGAAGTTTGACTAGGTGCCAGGAATTTATAAATTAATATTCTTAAGTCCTGGCAAATTCTCTTTCTGAGTAATCAGTGGAGATGTAGCTGAGAACTAGAGAATAGAAAACACAGCTATGTTTCAGCACGACGGCTTCATTAAGAACCAAGTCTCTCCTAAGCTTTATTTGTGCTCCTGGAAGTGTAAGTGAATAAAGAGGCTTTTATATTTGCACAAGACCATGTCTAACCCAAGCTAAGATATCTTGCCCTGGAAACATCTTTTTACTGATTTGTTGTTCCAGCACTGCTGTTAAACAAATGCTCTTTCTGCCTTGTTCCTCTCCCTGTGCTGGACATTGGCAGAACTGCACTTCATTAATTCCCTCATAGAAATGTATTTGAAGCTATTTCTTTGGAAGAATTTAAAATAAAAGTCTTCTTTGGTTTTCCAAATGTAGCACCAGAGCATCTATTTCACAGTCCAATCATAGAATTACTCCACATCTGCAAAGGAATTTAGAACTTGTCTCACATTTCATTGTGGGTTGGCAATGAGTACTTTGGAGCTGGATTCTTCTTTTTGAGGGCTCCAATCTAGAGTTAAAGCCTTTTTTAATCAGTCCTTTGGAGCAATTAAACACATACTGCAGGCTTCAAAAAGGGCATAAAATTAATTTGTTTTGCTTTAAACAGCAAAAGAAATACACGGTTTGCTAAATCAAAATGCCAGTTTATAATTCTCTGTGTCCATCTTCTCAGCTCTCAAATCCCTCACATGCGCAGCTCATTATTTTTAAAAAGAATCATGTGTGGCTTTCATTTCTGTGTGTATATACAACCTTTATTCCCCTTAATTGTATGTCTCTAAAAATAAAGACTGAAAGGTCTTCTTTGCAAGTGCCATCCCGGCTTTCAGGTGACTCCAATTGGAGGCTCAGAATTCTCAGTTGTGTGATCTATTGCTTAGTTACCCGGTATTGTTTAGATCTCAGACATCTGTAAGGTGGGCTCTTGTTGGATCTTTGTTTGTGATGCCCTTCTTTGAATGCACAGGCAGTGCAGTTCCTCCTTAGACAGAGTTTCTTCTGTGGTTTTGATGCTGTCAGACTCCTGACTGAAAAATAGCAGAAGGAGAATAGTTTATGTAAGTAGTTTTTCTGTCAAAACTGTTATGTGTGGGGGTTTCTTGCTATCAATGCTCAAAAGAAACAAAGATGGAGATTTAGGTGTGCACATTGTGAAGAACCTGTGCATAGTTTATAAACCTTAAGACAGTTAAAATGTAAATAGCAGAGAGATTGCCTAATGTGGAAGGAATGTGCTGAGCAAAGAATGCACATCCAAGGAAAGGAAGAACGAGATCATTTAAATGATGTAAACAGTGACTGAGTTAGGACCAGGAAGGTTAGACACAGGAGGGAATCTATTTTGAAGAAAGGCAGAGACTGTGTGGTTTCAGAGATCTGAAAGCCAGGTGTAGGATTGGTGGGAAGATTGATCATGTCAGTCAAAATACTGAAGCAGCTGAAAAGAAATCTTGTGAAGTACAGTCCAGACCTCTGTTTATCTGTTCTTATGCTTTCTT